GGCATCGTCAGAGACAACATGGATATATCCGGAGGACAAAGAGACTAGAAACAATTTGTTCATCCCTTCAATGATGATAAAAAGGAAACAAAATCAGCACAGTACCTGTAGCTAGCTATTGATTAGCAGGTAAAGAAGATTTTCTGATTTTGTTGGGTTTTTTCTCTAAAAAAAATCAGTGGGTGTGTCTACATGAGATGTTTATTATGGAGCTGCCCGAGTAGTTCTGCAGGAAAGTCTCAGCATCTACAAGTGCAGCCCTATTAGGCTAAAGTAAACTAATTAACTCTGCTGTAAGTACTATTCTGCAGCAGTGTTCTTTACTCTGCAGCAGTGCACATGTAGATGCTCACAGGGCTGGCTGGGGCACAAGGGTGCTTCAGTGCAGGGGCTGCCTGCCAGCTAGCCCTTCACCAAAGCGCCCTGGTGCTCAAGCCAGCCCCTCCGCAGCACATTGAGCCATGTCAGAGCAGCCCCAGGCTGATCCCTTGGTCTCCCTGCCAGCCAGAGCTGCTCCAACCCACTCAATGTTCTGTGGGCCCGATCACATGTATAAACATAGCACCCAGGAGCAATAAACTCCAGTACTATATGCACCAGAATTTACTGTGCCACATTAATTGCAATGTGTAGATGCTCCCAGTATTTCTCTCATTCCTAGTGATTTTTAGTTCACACTCTTCCTGTCTGGACCTGGAAGTCTGCAGGTTGGTGCAAGCATTTTCCTTGTAGAGTCGGGGTTCACTTAGGCTTAAAAGAATACAAAAGTTAAAACCACCTTCTTTCATACCTCACCTGGCTTTGGGTGGCAACCCACTTCGTTTCATACATTTACAACCTCAAGCCACAATGCAAGACAAATTCACTCACAAATCAATGCCAGGCATGCTGAAAATTGTGGAAACCTTGATAAAACTGGCCTGAGCTTTGACCGTGCAACAAAACCCACTATCAGTAGAGTATCATGCAGTCTGGAGTTTTGTTTACAAAGGTTTTGCTCAGTCCTTCTTTATAAGCAAATTTGTATAGCTAATACTGAAGCTCAGCAGGAGCTTACAGAATGCCCTCCTACACACACACGAGTTGCTGTTGAAGATTGATTTGTTTATAAAAGCCACAATTTTCCCTATTTAATTATGCTAAAAAAAATACCCCGCAGGCGCTTAGAATAAGCTATGAAACAGGAGCTGCCAAATTTGTCCAGGACACGTGACACTGTCACACGAAGCCTTATTATTCTATGCACTGGTTAGTAAGGTAATAGTACGGGGTGTTGTTGTTAGTTAGCATAGTATGAACTATTCACATCAGATACCATCAGAAACTTTCTGACATGACAGCACCTTCACAGGCCCTAGCATGAGAGGGGGAAAAAAAAAAACAACCATCAAGAAGGACCTTCCTGATCTTTCACAGTAAACACAATTGGGTTTAAGCACAGCACCTCCAAGTAGGAGACTGAGTTCATGATATCATTCTATCCAGCCAGTTAATACTGCTACTAAATAGTCACAAGTTATTTAGATTAGCTCTTACACAACTCATTTTTATCTATATTAGGCATTTTCACTGCTTCCATCACTGTAGCATCTAGGCACCAATTAGTTTAGTTGATCTAAACATGTTTCCTTCTCCCAAAATGTTGACCCTTTCCATGCCCAAACACTTGCCCTATCTGACTTTTCTTTAAGAACTGTGCAATTTCCATTCTGTGCTAAGAGCTGAAGTCCAGCTAGCAGTAGAGAGACATTCTGCTCCTACGCATGGCTTCACTGATGAGGTATGCAGGGCTCAGCTCCGGCTCCTCCGTCATGATTGAAATGTTCTGCCATTCCCCGAGCTGGTTTGACTTTTTGATGGTGTCCACTACACACAAGGCATACAGACAGTCATCAAAGGTGGCAGCCATGGTAAGGGGCCTTCCATCCCAAGTTCTTCTGTCATCTTGGTCCTCAAATGCCTGCCGGACAGCCTGCACCATCTTAATAGTGCCTCGAAGGTATGGTGATGGGATGTCACTGAAGGCCTTCTCAGGCAACAAGGAGTTGCTGACGGGTGTGGAGTCCTTTAGAAGGAGCTCCCTTTGAGGAGAACTGTTGCTCTGCCCATACAGATCAGTGCCTATTACAATCAGTCGTCCAGCTGAACCTACCACAATAATATCCTGTTTGAACTCCCCTGGGACATTGAAGTTCAGAGTCACAGTGCAGCATACCCCACCTTCCAAAACCATTTGAAACGTACAGAAGTCATCACTGGTGATCTGACGTATGCCTTTGATGTGGTCCGTCTGTTTCACAAAGGTCTTGAGCAACCCATGGACTTTCACAGCCTTCTGGCTAGTGAGGAAGGTCAAGAGGTCAATGATGTAGGTGCCAACTGAGTGCAAGCCCCCGCCCCCCATCAGGTCATCGCAGCTCCAATTATACTTTTTGCCCAGCAGGCTCCCACTGTGAACCTGAACCTCACACACCAGGAGCTCCCCCACATAGCCCTCCTGAATCAGCTGCTTCATCTTCACAAAAGCAGGCAGGAAGCGTAGGACATTCCCCATGATGCTCATAAGCTTGGGGTAATAATGGGCAGCAGACATCATCCTGAAGGCATCTAGGGGGGTTGCTGTTCGGTCACAGATGACGTTTTTCCCAATACCTGAAAAATAGTTAAGAAAGAAGAAAATAATAAAGAGCGAGCAAACTTAGGGCAGTTCAGGGCTGCATATACTGGGCACAGCCAATGAAAAATACCCAAGAAGGAAGAAAAATGTTTTTGGAAGCATCACAACAGTGGTTCCAAATGTGTAACCCCTTCCCCTCCCCACTTCAGTTTGTTCCCAAGACAGATGCATCCCCTTCCTGAGCCATGGAAACATGCCCCTTTTCCTTTTCAGAATTCATTCCCACTTGAAAAGAGGTATAAAAATGAGAGATGAAGCCTTTACCCACACATGCTTTCAGCAGCTGTTGTTGGAGACAATTGCATGTCTAGAGTAGGACACTGACAATCCTATGGTTTTCTTTCTAGTGGTATCATGCTTGTCCTCACTGTCCATAGTGTGTGCAGGATTATGAGGGAGGAGGGAAAGCATTGGGTAGGTGGATTATTTGGATGATGGAGAAAATATTTTATCTGCAGAATGTTACATGTTATTCTGGTTGGAGTGGGAAATGTTTGAGGAACCCCCTGATCAAAACGTTAGCAGCAAATCTGCAATGTCATGGGAACCCCATGATTTTTCTAAAGAGGTAAAATTTCCAGTCTTGGCAATCCACCCCCTATGGAATTTCCTGTATGTGCACCTTGTTTATTGAAGTTTCATGACAGTCCTGCGTTAACAGACTAGCTAGGCATACTGAATGCAATGTCAGCTAATAACAGTTGTATTATTGACGCCTCCTTGATGAATGCTTTCATTCTGTACATAAATAAATGCAGTGACAGTAAAGCAAAGTTACATGAAAGTACCTACAATAACTGCTAACGTGCAGAAGTACTTCAAAGTGACAGCAGTGTAAATCACTTTGTAACATTGCCATTTAAGCATTAGTCACAAGAGGCATCTGTCACCAGATAAAAAAAAAGACCTGCAGCAGTGTACACATGCCTGTATCTGGGCTTTTCACATGGCTTGAAAGGAACTGGCAGTTCTTTAGGTCTTAATTCCATTCATAATAGCTTGACTTTTATCCCTGATGAGCAGCAGCAAGTGCACAATGCTCCTTTCACCTATTTGGCCCTGCACATGACAGCATACAATATTTCCTTACTTCCTCCAAACAAAAGGCTGTGAAGGAGGAGGCTGGCCTTTTGGCTGAGATACAGGTTTCAGACTGAAGGGATCTAATGTCACTTCCCTAGCTCTATTACTAATCAGTAAAAAGTTAAATGAACTTGGGTAAATGACATCATCTGTGTGTGACTCAGCTCCTTGTCAGGCTCCTTCCTTCCCTTATTAGGCATGCTGTGACCTTCCTTCCCTTACTAGGCATGCTGTGAAGATGAAATCTGAAATGTTTATGATGTGGGCAGAGGAGGGCATATATATATGAAAGACACTTGGGATCACACTGGGGACAGATTTATGAGAAACTAACTGCTTCCATGGGAGAAAGGAGTCATAATCTGGCCCTTTTATAAGCAATATTTATCTGCTTCCTTTTCAGTGTCTGTCTGTTACACACTGAAACAACTGGAATTGGCAGTAGGAGCGTCACCACAGAAACATGGTCGCAGTTGGGAAGCCATCCCAGCAAAACTAAGGGCATGCCCACCCTCCATCCCTGGAGTCCCTGAAGAGCAACATGCCACACTTGCATCCTTGCTTGCACACACCAAACCCAGAAATGCAATTGTGAAGTGCTCAGGGAATGGATCCTCATGGCTGCCCTCGGGTATGCTGGAGGGCTCAAGAGCAGCTGCAGAGGTTGCCCCTGAAGCCATTGTACAGCTGCAGTTCAAGGCTTGCTTGTGTGAACAGGAGTGGGTAGGGTCCAGAATGTCTCTCCTTAAAAGCACCAGGAACAAAGCAGACAAACCCTAAGGATCATGAAGGGCAAAAAAAAAAAAAAAA